GGGGGGGGGGGGGGGGGGGGGGGGGGGGGGGGGCTGCTGACTAGAAAACTTGCTGATGGTTTTGTATTGTGAATTGAGGCTGGCGTCTTTCTGTTGGTCCGTCGGTTGGCACGGTCGACGCACACAAAATAATAGAGAAGTACGTCGATGAAATGCCCCCCTGCATTTCGGGGGAGCCAGCGGACTGTAATCGAGCCTACCCCGAATTTCGCCCTGCTGAAACGGCGACGCCATTTCATTGGTCGGCCGGTTCGTGCGATCGATTCTAACAACTAACAACCGAGGTTTCGAGGGGGGTTCGGGGGAGGGGGGGAGGGGCACAGACCAAACAAGAAAGCAAAACAAAAAACACAAAAGCCATGGTAACTATTGTAGTTCTTGATGATATTATTGCAATACTGCGAGCGAAAGTCTCCCCGTCCGTGTATCAAATACCTCTTCTTGCTCACCAAGCAAGAAGTGGAGCGAGGTCCAGCGGACACAAACAACAAGCTCCAAAAGAATGTCCAACCAAAACAACTACCCGTGGCACCGCAATCTATTTTTCATGTACTCATTCCTACCCCGGGTCCGACTCGTCTCGCTTGAGCCTAACTACAGTAAACCTACTGCTACACCATAACAACACTAGCTATTGGGCACTCTCCGTACGTGCGTACACCCACCCGCATCCAGGCTCCACCGCCACCCTCAGCCCGTTGCCGTGGAGGACCTGTATGTCGGTGTTGCGGCCGAGCCTCTCGTCCGTCGAGGCGATGCAGCGCGCCGAATGCTCCAGCAGGGCCTCGTTCAGCTCCACGCCGTGGTTGACGCCGAGCTCTCCGACGAGCATGGAGACGAGGTACGATAGGTAGCATGTCCCGCTCCCCTGCCGTAGGTTGTCATTATCTTGCTATTAGTATTGTTTATATTAGAATATTGTTGTCATCACTTCCAGGTGGCATTATTTACTTACTTTACTATTTTCTTGGTGACGATGACACCGCTTCTTATGGCTGCAGAACGTTGCAAGAAAAGTTGCAGATTTTTTCTGCAACTTTGCTCGGGAACATTCGCCAACCACACTTTTGGTGCACGCTCATTCTGGGAAGAGGAGTGTTGAGGCGGCAGCAGTGGTCTGTCTCGGTGCAAACAACGCAAAAAGTGGTGTCTGATGGCAATGCACGTACACATGCCCATGCCCACGCCAACAAAACGCATTCTGTTGGAGCACCTCTTCGTTGAACCGTAGGCCGAAAAGGCGGCAGGTTAGTCGACAAAAGCGGGTTCTCGACTCTCGATTTCTCATTGCCTGACAGGTGATTTAGACTACTTAAAATCCTGGATGATGTCGGTCCTGTTTACTCGTCCGGCTCTTTTCCCGTATCAAATAGCCACACGGAAAAACGAGTGTAGTTGGAGGCAATGGACAGGAGGCAAACAAGACGCAACCAAAGAGACGCCTCGTTCGGTCTCAATCTCTGTCTCCGTCGCTTCTTCCCCTGTCTCTCTGTCTCTCTCCCCCTCTCTCTCTGTTTGCCTGTCTTTCTCTGCCCCCATCTGTTCCATCTCTTGCTCTCCCTGTCTCTCTTCGTGTCTATCTGCCTGTCTGTCTGTCTGTCTACCCCCCCCCCCCCCCCCCCCCCCCCCCCCCCCCCCCCCCCCCCCCCCCCCCC